GATGGTGGATGGTATCTTCACACAAGCAGCACACAAGATAATATATATTCTAAAGAGGCTTTGAAGGAGTTCTCTGTATATTTCTATGTGGATGTGTATTTATCTAGTCATTGCACTAGCGCAGCACTTGTTTATTTGAATTGTACACTTCATAACTTGTGTGAGAGTTATGTTGGGTGTTCAGCTGCTGGAGATACTTTAGCTGATAATAATATTAGTTTAGTTCATATTTTTATTTTATTGACTATTGTTTTTGGACTATTTCTTATTTATTGAACACGAAATATCAGAATAGCACCTCACAAGGGATACAATTGATAATGCTCCTGCACATGATGCGTTAAAGCAGAGTTCCACTCATCCTGTCAAAAAATAAAAGTCAGCATCTACAAAAACTGTAACTGCTGACTTTTAAAACACAGCCACTTACCTGTCCCTTGGTCCCGTGGTGTGTCCCCGCAGCCCATTTCACCTGCCGTCCTGGATCCCTGAAGGCCAGCAGGCATCTTCAGTGTCAGGAGGGAGGACACCTTCCGTTTCCGATCACCTAGGTGGTCCAACCGCAAGTGGGAGCCAGTACCTGTCAAATTCCGGTACCCACTCCCCCCCGCCCCCCAAAGGTGCCAATCCTTAATGGGGAGCGGGGGAGCAGTCCTTAAAGCGGAACTTCCCCTTTTGGGTGGAGCTCCACTTTAAGTGTTCGCAAGTCCTTGGCCCAGAAAGCCATTCCAAAACTTGGCCAACCACCTTAATCCCATGACTTAGCACCCTGCGACTTTTGGCTGTTTCCAAAGTTAAAAAATGCTTTAAAAGGACACAGATTTGATGACATTGCAGACATCTATCGCACTGCAAAAAGATACTGCTCAGCATTTCAGGAATGTTTCTGGCTGTGGCACAGTCATCTAGAAATGTGCGTTGTTTCCCAAGGGGACTACAATACTTTGAAGGTGACAACAACGGCTAGTGTACAGGTAAGCAAACATTTTGCTTAAAGCCAATTCCGGGAATTACATTGTCACACCTCATACTTATATATTAGGGCATTTTCAGGATTTTGCAGAAGGATATTGGCATCACCCTTCACACTGTGGTAAGGTAAGTATGTTTTCTAACTTGTTTCTCACATTTTATAAGCTATTATGCGGCTTGGGATGGTGGGAGGCTTAATATAATAAGCAGACCTTGAATTATAGTGCACAATGCACTTTAATGATGTGAAACACCCGCATAGCTCCTGGCAGCCCAGGCAATCTTTCTAGGCTTTAGGCCACAACGGGGAGCTCAGGAGTAGCAGTCATTTTTATTTCTGGCAAGAGGCTGCACTAAAAATTAAAACCTGATTTGGTAATGCTGACTTTTGCCTTGTAGATTCATTCAAAGTGTGAATTTTAATATTAAGTCCTCCTTTATTATAATGTCAGCACTTTGTTTTACCTTAACAACCATATACGATTAATAGGCTTCAGATGTTAAATTTACTAGCCTATCCATTGGAGAACACTCTAAGTTCTTACTTATTCAGTGTACACTGAAGGAAAAAAACTATCTATAGCAGTTGGGTATTTCAAGGTTAACTTCCAAAGTCACCATGGTTATACAAAGCATCCATCCTAACTTGTTTCTACTGCAAAGTACGAAACATTTCATCTGGACAAATTTTAGCCAAAATGAGATTTATGGGGAAGTGGAAGAGACAATCGAGCTCACGGAGTGTCTTATGAAAATATTTTTGGAGTACAAGATAAGTCTACTTGGTTCCTCGTCATATTCTTGAAGTTCTGTGGAGTTCCATTGCCAACTCATTTACAATGGAATGGAAAAAAGCCATTTGAGGGATTGTTTGCTGAAGCTTGTACTTTTTTCCCATCCTTGATTAGCAGGAGCCAGCAATGATTTGTGCATTGGGAAAACCTATGTGAATGCTTCCCAGAACTTTCCAGACGAACATCTTTTGCTTCAAATAAGATGGGCATTTCAGCCCATGTGGTCCAAATATTTTGCATTACAGTTTCTATTCAGCAATGCTTCTTGTCCAGATGATTCCCAGAAAAGACACATATTTTTCAATGAACCCTTAGAATCCAAGGTTAATAGGATACAGATAACCACAAGTGTAATCTTATTAACCCATCTGGTACTACAAAGACCTCTGCTGAAGTGTGCTTGCCCTAGACTTGAACAAGCTCATCTCTCCGAAGGAGTTACAGTAGTTTGGCGAGCTGACCATTTATCACTCTGTAGGACGCCGTGCTTCCTCTCCTGTACTCATGCCAGGATCTGTCGATTAATCAGTTAGCCATTTCTTATTTCAGAAGGCTATCTTTTATCAATTGAATGGAATTCCTTTACAAGTTTGTCCAAGGGAGTAAAACAAAACTCCAAGCAAATAAAATCCTGCAGTCCAGTGATGTACAAAAATAAAATCTGTTTTTAAAATGGACTTTGCATTAAGAACTGCAAAGTCTATTCAATGCCTAGCTCCTCCCTCCCCCAAACAAAATAAAAAATTATAAACATAAAAAAAGGCCTATCATTGGCTACAATGATAAAAAAAAAACTAAATGCTCAAGTCACATAAAACATAAAACAAAGGAAGGGAATCTTACCCTGAATGAATATTATAATCGGATGCAATTATAGATTTTAAATGTTGTTAGGATCTGATGTAAAATAGTTAGGGTAATGAGATGACACGATCACCCTATTTGTTGTGACTTTAAATCTCACTGCATTTTGCCAAGGGGTAAGATACTCCCATATTAATGGATTTGTTTATCAGGCCTTTTCTATTCTGTACTTATATCTGGTTCTTTTCTATATCACATGTTTAAGGTATTGCAATATGAGGTTATATTCAACTTATATTCAACTTGTTAATATATACTTTTTCTCTTATTAATATTTACATTGTATTTTGTGCAACCTTCCGTCCTATAAATAATTTATATTGGTCCTGAAGAAGCTGGTGAACCCGCGAAACATGTAGACCAACCTATTTTAAAGGATGTATAACAACAGTGTTTATCTGGTTGTAAATTTGTTTTGTATATGTTTTGGTGGAATACCTAGGATTTTAGTAAGCTGTGAATAAAATATGGTTTATACATATGTTTTTTTTTCCTTTTGGTGGGCACCAGTGGTATATATACAGTCCCGTTTTCTAACCATTCTAGAATTTTTATTTTTGTTATTTTTTTTTTATCTTTAGTCTTCAAGCACCCTGCTGCATTGGAACAATGTCTATGAATGATAGTTCTGTGCTTTATGAATGATGAATGGCAAGAAGCGCACAACACTGGAACTGGTGTCGTAGACACCTTTCCAGCTGTAAATATCAAGAGCTTTCAGCAGAGTTTAGAAAGAGTTTTGAAAGAATAGAATTTTTGATAAAAATCCCGTGTCTAGAGTTGGACTTGTATATACGATACTTGCACCTTAGGCTCACCTAAGGGAGGGTGACATCATTTGGTGTTCCTGTAGGATCCTGGGAAAACTGAGGATCCCAGATCCCATGGGAATGTGCCATGCTGGAGCAATGTGCCCATGCTGGCCTGGGGATGATTTTTTTCCCCCAATGTTACATTTTTTTTTTATATTTTGCTTTTTTTTTGTTTGGGATATAGGGATATTTTCAAGCAAGGTATCAAAGGGTTGCATAAAGTTTCACAGTGTCTATCACAGTTTTGTACTAACAGAGATAGGTGCATTGACTTATGTGCACTATTGGAACAGTTGAGATCACACCACCATTGCAATTGTCCAATAAAACCAGGCACAGTTTAGAAGTGGCATTGCATAGCTAAAGGCACCATGTGTGTGTGTTTGCCATTATTGAAATATATACAAATGTGCATTTTCTGTAATGTTCCTATGTATGATAAATACCTATGTACACCATTTCTAATTTATAAAAATGAAAGTCCCTTATAACCTCCATATTAATGCCTAAGTATCTGTTTATGTTATACATTTTTCACACTTACAAATGTAAGTGTGAATGCTGTAAAACATAGATAGGAATGAACATTATAGCGACAATACAGCAAAAAAATTCCCTCAAATGCCAATGAATGCAACGTGAGAACTTCCTCATGCTTCCAGTAAGTGGCATGCTTCCTCCAAATTTCAGTGTTGTCTGCTAACAAGCTTCATTGCTAATGGAATTCTGCATTTTACACTTCAAAAATAATGACTGTAAGGAAAGCAAATTGGAAATAAAAAATAAATTTTATGTTACCAAATATACTGAATTTAGATGAGGCTACATTTGGAAATTGATTTGTAAGTTAGAGAGACTTCATCGAAAGTATTATACTATATTTATATAATAAAGTTTAATATTGCTATCTATACATTTTTCTTTATTTTAAATAAGATTACTATGAACTATTGCATAAAATATTTTATGTTTACCACTAGTGGCCAGCAGGTGGCAGACTGATCTCCATGGTCTCTGCAGACACTTTTTCATTGCTGGGGTCATTACATTGCAGATGCTGCCTAAATCCTGCAGAAAGCGGTAGGTTTTTCTTATTAGAAAGCCAAGCTTGCTTTGCACAGTGTCATGAATGTGCCCAATTCCCTCTATATCTTTTCCCTCTAAAACATGTCCACATGCCCAGTGATCCAGCAGTGGTCTGTAGGGATTCACTATCCTGCCACGGCAAACTGCTCTTGCACCATCATCCTCATATGTGATGTCTTTAGGAGACTGGCTGTCTCTTCTGGGTTCTTAGAGTCAGCCCCTTGATGATGCCATGTGCTGCAAGTACCAGGTAAAACAATGGGCCCGCTGATGTTGTGCCATGGTGCATGCACAGCAGCATACTCCATGGTCTCCTGGAATGTGTGACATGGGTATCCCGGGAGGTTGCATGTAAGTGACATGTCGCTCTAGGAGGTGCTGGGAGAATTCCACACAAAAGTAATTAAAAAAAAAATTAAAACACAATTTGCAATTTTTAGAGTGTTGGGTGTTAGGGATGAGATGGTGGATAGTGGCTGGGGAGGGTGAAGGTCTGCTTTAAGGCCCACTTTAAGGATCATGTTGGCCGCCAAGCAGGGGCGGACTGACAACTCATGGGGCCCCCGGGCAATAGGGGATCATGGGGCCCCTGTGTCCTTGCCCAAACTCAAAAAAGCCTATGAAAAAGGTACCAGGGGCATCTCATGGGGCCCCCTACTGACCCCGGCCCTCAATAGGGGATCATGGGGCCCCTGTGTCCTTGCCCAAACTCAAAAAATATGAACAGGAGCCAGGCTCTGTGTAGTTTTGTGATAAAAGTAATACACCTTATATGGAGGTGTGCCTTTAATAATTCATATGGTAAAATATAAATAACCAGCCTGTGGCTTTAAGAAGTCATGTTCCAAGATGGACGGCCCGTCCGCTCAGAGGGAAGCAGTGGAGTAGAATACCTGTCAGTGCAGGGACCACGTGTACCTGACGTCCCAGCATCCTGGATGACGTCACCATAATGTGGAGAGATGGAGGGGGGGGAACTCTTGCTGGAGCCGCAGCTTTAGAAGGAAGAGGCCGGTTGCCGGGACAACATGTTTTGTGCACATGCGCTTTATCAAGTCTCAAGTCTCTTCATATTCTACTCCACTGCTTCCCTCTGAGCGGACGGCCGTTAATCTTGGAACCTGACTTCTTAAAGCCACAGGCTGGTTATTTATTTTTTACCATATGAATTATTAAAGGCACACCTCCATATAAGGTGTATTACTTTTATCACAAAACTACACAGCGCCTGGCTCCTGTTCATACTTCCCACAAACTGATGTGTTTTTACCATGGCAGCAGTGAGTTTTTTCCCCACCAATCACAGTTGACATATACCATTCACTTATTTCCTTTGGGACACATCTGTGCGCTTTTATCCAGACTGTTCTTCCAAACTCAAAAAAGCCTACGAAAAAGGTACCAGGGGCATCTCATGGGGCCCCCTATTGACCCCGGGCCCTCGGGCAGTGCCCGAGTTTCCAAATGGTCAGTCCACCCCTGACTCCAAGACAATGCTTAGTGCTTGAGTAGTTAATCCTAAACACCAGCAATCATGTGGAAGAGGAGTGGGTCACATGCTTGTAAGAGGGGCTTCATGGTTGGTGGTTTACTGTCCCTCCTGCTGAACCTGAACCCTCTGCCATCTTGTGCTCTGCTCCTTACCATAGGCCTCCTCACAACATACCTGGCCATAAATCTTTACATCCAATGGAAGGAATGTCCAAACAAGAAATACATTTGCTGCATTTTACTGGTGGTAGTCAGGAAACGACATTACAGCCACATCACAAACACATTCTGGAGTCACTTGACATTACACAGTTAATCACATATAATGGACAGTCTGCAGTTTTCACAGGGGAAAGCATGTGGAGCACTCTTAAAGCCATCTCCCTACAGTCCCTCCTCTACTCATGGTCATCAGTACGCATAGGACTCCCTGTAGTCATTCCCTTGCTAGGTACATCTCTCCCAGGAACCCTTCAGGAAAGCAGGCTCAAAGGCCTAAAAGGCCTCTTGAACTCTACCCTAGCTCCCGCCTCTATAAGGGACAAAAATAGTACAGCCGGCTCCTCTTGCATACATGTCCACTCCTCCTGGCCTCCTGTCCTGTCCAGGGCCTAGGTTTGATGGCTGCATCGTCAGGTGTGTGGTGTTTAGCTCCCATGCCCCAGGAGAGTGTGTGCTCCTCCCCACCTAGCTTATATGTGGCTGTTGACTCACTCCTGACATCACTATAGAAGGACTCTATGTAAAAGGGGCCTAACATCTGGTGTCACAACCTGCTGTACCAGACACTATTCTGGTACAGAGCCATCTCCTGCTAAAGTGACTAACTGGACCTGCCTACATGATTCTCTATACACAGAGGTACCAGCTATTTATTTTTGCTCCTGGAACTCAAATCAGAGGGGAGCAAGGAGGAGATGAATATGTGTAGCCCAGAAGTGATGCTATTGAGTGAACCTGTTGTTTTTCATAGGCAAAGCACAAATCCACTTCAGGGGTTTTATTGGAGAGCTAAGAGGTTCTTTGGTGTAGGGAATATACTTTATTTAGGGATAGAGGAGCTTCACAGTTTTTACTTCTTCCCAGAGCAAAAAACATTTTGTCATATAGAGCAGGGGGTGTTAAAAATGATCACCCTTGAGGGCCACATAGTCCAAGTAACATTCTTTAGCCTTTTATTTCCAGTTATATCCTCGATCCCCTCATGTTTTGCATTGTATTGGTATTGTTCTGTCACATGTTCTGTCCCCCTTTGTAATATACAGCGCTGAGTGAACTATTGGCGCTTTATAAATACTGTATAATAATAATATAATAATAATAATACTGTATGCAGTACAACCTTTTTGATCACATTGTAGAAATGCCTAAAAATTTGACCCAACAATCAAATTTAATATTCCCTTTTTGTCAAAACAGCAAAGACATACACTCACCGGTCACTTTAATAGGTACACCTTGCTTGTGCCAAGAAAATATCCCCCACACCATCTGAAATGTTGATACAAGGCAGGATCCATGCTTTCATGTTATCTACGCCAAATTCTGATTCTACCATTTGAATGTCACAGCAACCAATCTGTCCATTTTCCTGTAACCTCTGACATCAACAAGGCTTTTTCGTCCACACAACTGCCGCTCACTGGATATTTTTTCTTTTTTGGACCATTCTCTGTAAACCCTAGAGATGGTTGTGCATTACAATTCCAGTAAATCAGCAGTTTTTGAAATACTAAGACCAGCCCATCTGGCATCAACAACCATGCCACGTTCAATAAATTCCCTTTCTTCCCCATTCTAATGCTCGGTTTGAACTTCAGCAAATTGTCTCCACCATGTCTAGAGAGATAATAACATGTGACTAGATGATTAGCAATTTATGTTACAAAGCAATTAAAGAGTTGTACCTAAAGTGGCCGGTGAGTATACTAAATGTGCAGTGTTGACTGACCACCGGGAGATGGAATCAAAATGACCCTGATCAAAAGTGGCATAAAAATCCAATCACTTTTGACGAGATTGCCCTAGTTTGTTCCCATTTCAAATCCATCTTAAATCGATCACAGTTAAAATGGCATGCATTATAAGGTGCATTTTATCAATACATGCCTAGTTTCAACTTCAGAATCAAACAACATCTGGTGGCAATCACACACCCAGGAGGATTGCTCAGATTTGACTGTTATGTTTTATAGCACAGTACTCAGCATAAATGAGTACACCCCCAAAAGATTTGTCAGAAAATCTTTACTTTTCTTTCAGAATCAGCATTTTCTATGGGAAACTATACTACAAAATACTCCCACAAATGTGGGCCATTGATTGCAAACAAGATTTGTTAAAGGATCAGTTCACCTTGTTGACAAAAATAATAAATGCACATTTTTTTGCAGGTAAAAAACTGTGCATTTATTATTTTTGTCTGCAGGAGCCTGGAAGGCATTGCACCAGCAATCAGTACATCGCTGATGCCATGCAGGTCTCCTGCAGGCCTATCAGAATATCTGCTTGCCATACGAGATGTACAAGCAAGCCGATATTCTGACAGGAAGCTTCAATGGACTACCACAGCTCTCCACAGCTCCATGGTAGTTCATTGAAATCTACAAGGTAACAGCCGCTAAGGGTGCTGCGACTTGTAGGCACTCATTCACAGAACTCTGTGAATGAGTGACGCGGCCGTGTGGGCGGAGCCCCGCACGGCCACTCTGTTTTCAAATCTGACAGATGGTACAGGGAGACTTCTCCCCATACTATGTGTCAGAAGGAGGGGGGGATCGGGCAGTGGCTGCAGCCAGTGGTATGTTTAGGTTTTGTGCTGCCCTAGGCAACATAAAAATCAGCCGCATCCCCCCCCTCACAGAGAGAGCCTGACACCAACCAACACCCCCCCAAAGACATGTAGCAGAATACATTTTTGGCCTAACTTTTTGAAGAAATTTGATTGTTTAATTTTTTATATTGGATATATAGCAAAAAGTCAAAAATATTGTTTTTTTTTTTTTCAAAATTGGCAGTATTATTTTGTTTACAGCGCAAAAAATAAAAACGCAGAGGTGATCAAATACCACCAAAAGAAAGCTCTATTTGTGGAAAAAAAAACTATATACATTTTATTTATGTACAGTGTTGCTTGACCGCGCAATTGTCAGTTAAAGTAACACAGCGCCATATTGTAAAAATGGCCTAGTTAGGAAGAGGGGTAAATCCTCTGGCGGGTAAATGGTTGACAAAGAAAACACCTCCCATTTCATGCTGTCAGCAATGGCACCACATGGAAGAGAAATGTCACATGACTTGAGAAAGAGAGTAATTTCTGTATACAAGGAAGGTGAAGGCTACAAGAAGATCAGCAAAGCTTTACTTATCAGTCAGAATACTGTAGCAAAAGTGATACAAAAGTTTAACAAAGATGGAACTGCAACCATCTTACCGAGATGTCTAGGCTTTCCAGGGAAGTTAACACCTTGACAGGAGCATCTTCTGATGAGAAGGGTTGAAGAAAATCGCCATGCAAGCTCACTGCAGTTAGCTAAAGAAGTATGTTATGTTTATATATGCTTTACATATATATTATACATTCACATCAGTCCCTAAACCTCAAAGAAAGTACAATCTAAGGTCCATAACTTACATACACATACTATGGTCAATTTAGACAGGAGCCAATTAACCTAGCAGCATGTCTTTGGGGTTTGGGAGGAAACTGGAACACCAGGAGGAAACCCATGCAAGCACAGGGAGAAAATGCAAACTCAAGGCTGGTGGTGCTGTGGTTGGGATTTGAACCACCGACCCTAGTATTGCCAGGTGGAAGTGAAACCGTTTAGCCACTGTGCTGCCCCTAAGTAGAAAGCCAAGCTGGGGTGATTGTTTCCTGTGACACAATACGGCATACACTGCAGAGGAATGGCATGCATGGGTGTCGTTCACAAAGGAAGCCTCTCCTAAAGCCCATGCACAAAAAAGCCCACCTAGAATTTTCCAGGGCCCATCCTGAAACAGAAGACTATTGGGACTCTGTACTCTGGAGTGATGAGACTAAGATAACTGTTTTTGGAACTGATGGCTTCAAAACAGTATGGCGTCGCAAAGGTGAGGAGTACAAAGAAAAATGCATGGTGCCTACAGTGAAACATGGTGGTGGGAGTGTCCTTCTGTGGGGCTGCATGAGTGCTGCTGTGCTGCTGGTATCGGGGAGTTGCATTTCATTGATGGTATCATGAATTCACAGATGTACTGTTCTACATTGAAAGAGAAGATGCTACCATCACTCTGTGCCCTTGGTCGTCGTGCACTTTGCTAACATGACAATGATCCAAAAAACACATCTAAGGCCACTGTTGCATTTCTGAAGAAGAACAGGGTAAAAGCGATTCAGTGGCCAAGTATGTCTCCTGATCTGAACCCAGTTGAACACCTATGGGGAATTCTGAAGAGACAAGTTGAGCATCACTCTCCATCCAGCATCCAGGCTCTAAAAGAGGTCGTTCTTGAAGAATGGAAAAAAGATAGATGTTGTAATATGTCACCAACTTGTTCATTCAATGCCTAGAAGACTTGATGCTGTCCTTACAATTCATGGAGGTCATACACAATATTAGATGTAGTGATTTTTGTTGTGGGGTGTATTCATTTTTGCATCAACAAATTTGAGTAAAACTGAAGATTTTGGAATCAAAGTTATATTATTTGACCTTACTTTCATGTAATGAGCTAAACAAATGATCTATAAAACTCATTTTTGTCAACATTTTGGAAATTATTCTTGTATTCATTGAGATATTGATTAAAATCTTACTTTTCAAAAGGGGTGTACTCATTTATGCTGAGCACTGTATATGCAATTCTCGGTACATCCAAACTGGTTGAGCTTGATTGAAAATTGACACTGAATTGTATATGGCTAGCTAATGGTTTACATTTTTATCTATTTATTCATTTATTTTTATTCTCAGTAGCTAGTGATTTTTTAAAATTAATAACATAAGATGTCCAAACCCTTCTAATGAAATCTGAAGTTTTCAAGATGAGAACACCTAAAATGAAAAGGTTTTATTTTACTTGATGTGACTCTTCA